ATGTTTCTCACAGGCAGCACCGCCTCATGCCAGAGCATCAGTGCTGATTGGAGGAGAGACATGTTTCTCACAGGCAGCACCGCCTCATGCCAGAGGATAAGTGCTGATTGGAGGAGAGGCTTGTTTCTCACCGACATTCTCCCCTTACCAGGGGATCAGTGCCGATTGAAGGAGAGGAATACACCTCACAGACATCACCGCCCCCTACTGGAGCATCAGTGCTGACTGGAGGAGAACCCCCGATCGTAGAGCTCATGCCGAGACCCTTTACCAGTTGAGCCATAAAGGAAGCCACTGGCCAGTGATTTCTGTATCCAATTTAATACAAAAGAGCACAGTCACTGCTCTCCTGTTCCATGAAATCCCAGACACAGGGCTGTAGTGCCATACTGAAGAGCAGACACAGGGTTGAGTGCCATACTGAAGAGCAGACACAGGGCTGTAGTGCCATACTGAAGACCAGACTCAAGGACTGTAGTGCCATACTGAAGACCAGACTCAAGGACTGTAGTGTCATACTGAAGACCAGACTCAAGGGCCCCATCCTTTGGGTCTAAACTCATCTAGGACTTCAAACAGCTGAGCTGGGTAGGAGCTTTGACTGTTCCTCCTTGTTGAAATTCAACGATAGGAAGAAAGATCAAAAGGATTTTGGAAATCAGCTCTCGGGTTTTCAAAATAAGACATTCATCTTTGGAAAACCTAATGTGACATCTAACTGCTGTCTGTGGCCAACACTGGCTGGCACTCTGACAGGGTCTCTGAAGAGAAGCCAGCTTGGCTTTAGCAAACAAATATGAAACCAATTAAAAAAAGAAAAAGATGTACTCTGCAGTGTTTGTACAGTACATCACAAATAAATACTCTTAATAAATAAACTGTGAAGAAGCAAGACATAAAGAGAGCACACATCTGCACCAATTTCCTTTTTAAGACATAAATGGCAGAAATTTTGGCAATGGACGTCCGAGAGACAGGTCACTTAAACTAGGGAAGAACTATCGCCTAAAGTGCTCTGTTTGGGGTCAGCAGTGTTTTCTTATTGAAAAATCGTGAGTTTATTTAAATTACACCCCTTAACCAGCTTACTTCATTCGCCAGACTCTGACACCTGCTATCAGATTCAGGTTGAAAGGAGATGAAATACCTAGTTTCTCAAACCATTCATCCTTTTGTTTCTGTTTTGTTCCATTTCAGCTTATCTGGAGATCAAGCACATTTGTTTTTAATTATTTTGGTAAAATACGAACTCTATTCTTTTGCTTCACTGCCATGCGTTTCTAATTTGTGCTTAGGATTTAAAGGCCAACTACCATTTGAAAGTCAATTTAAATAATTATCTTTGCCGCGGATTTGAGCTACAGTAAGAACCCCTGATGGCATCCTTGAAAATTATTAGCAGAAATAAAAGAATTATTTTTGTCTAGCAGTGCAGACTGCCCGCCCACCTTGTAGCTTTTTCCATCAATAAAATTGAACATATTTACAAAACACATCCATGGCCTGTATGGCCCCAAGACTATTGACTTCATATTTCACGTGTAAAAGACCTGCAGCTTGCAGCCTGTAAACACAGGATAACCATCACCATGCCAGTTTACCCAACAGAAGACCAGCCCTCAGTGTTGGTGTCAACCACCAGCTTTAAATTGACAAAAGTGCTTATTGTCTGTCCTCATCGAGGTCCGGTCACGCCGTATCGGCTGCGAGTATCTTACACATTCCTCTCTGGGATAAGGACATTGGGCTGTTCAGCACTAGTTTACAGCGCCGAAGACCGATTGTAGAAGGTGCTAAAACATACTGCCGCAGCATTCAAACGGAAATCTGCACTAGCCTTCTTGCAGGAGCAGTGAAGCAGGAGGAGAGCGCCTCTCTCCGGGTGATGACGTACTTCACGAAGCTCCAGATGGTTATCGCTATTGTTAACCCAGATAGCGGTCACTGATTGTCACGTACTGCATAGCGGTGCGTGCTGAAAGCAGTGTTGGACACCACTCTGTGAGAACAAGTTTTCTTTTTTGTTCAGTAGTTACGAGGAGTGTGAAAATGTGATTGTATTAATCTAGTTAATGTATTAGTGTGTAAGTATATTAAATATTCAGCAGACATTTGCTAGTGGAAATTAAAGAATTAAAACACTGGATATGCTGGGCCTATTGTCCGGCGCAGTCTTTGGCCTGTTGAATTATTTGAGGTCTAGGAGGCTACATTGAGTGAATGTCATATAAGTGAATGACCGGCTCTAGAGGAGCCTACAGGATTTGCCAATGGAGCCACAAGTGCTCTTTTAGTATCTGGCAGAAAACACGTTTTTGACAAAAAGCCTACAGTACAGAAACAATGTCTGTGGAACTGAGGTTGACAGAAATACTTCAATAATTTTCAGGTTCAGCGTCTTGAACTGTCTGCGTTGATTTCTTAAGAGCAAAGAGCTCCGAAATCAGCGCTGTTGAATAGCTTTGACTGTCCCCTCGTCTCCTCTGTGACCTTGGCTGCGCTCTGGAGGCCTGCAGGGGGGGTGGATGCGGATGGGGGGGGGTGATGTCAGAGCTTGGTATTTACGGCCTGGAGGATCTCCTGCGGCGCGGCCTTCTCGGGCAGCTCGGGCTCGTCCTCCTTGTCCGCCGCGCTCTGGTCCGTGTTCTCCCGGCTGCTCTGCGGCGACTCGGGCGGCGGCGAGTACAGCACCGCGGCCAGGAAGAAGAACAGCGTCCCCAGAGCCTGCCGGGAGGAAACCAGGGGGGCCTTCAGGCAACGCTGCCGCGGAACGAGGGTGCTCGGCGTTGCAAACAAGGATACGAGGACCAGGGGCAACACGTGCCCACAGACACTGGGGACCCCCATACCTGCTGGGTTTCATTGCACCTGAGCTCCTTATGGCTCCTGAACTGAACCAACAAGTTGTTTGGTTGGAGTCAATTGCCAGTTTTCTCTTCTACTGAAAGGTTGGAGACTTGAGGTTACTTAAGGACTCCTCCTACATGTTAAGGAACTGAAAACAATTTAAAGAGGTTCAGTTAAACCTATTATTGGGTCTATTTAGGTGGAACAAACCCCAGTAGGCTTCGTGGGAGTCCCTGCTCTCGGCTGTGAATGTGCAGATCACCTGTAAGCAGCAGATGGTCTTCAGGAAGGCAACTGAGCCCCACACTTCGGCGGCCCCTGGTGTGTACTGCTATGTCCTTGTACTTCAATCTATAACCTGTCTCTATCCATCTTCCCATTATCGGACAGCCACGTCTCTTCCTGGTGAGAGCCATGGCTAGCCAGCGTGAACCCCAGAGGCACAGTGTGCAAGGAGGGGCCGAGAGCACGAGACGGCTCTTCCTCCAGACAGAAGTCAGACCGATACCGATCCTCAGTTTTCACGCTCGGCAGGGTAATGCCCATGACACAGGTGTTTGGGTAAATAGTTTAAATGTGAAATTTAAACACTGTCTTCCGCTGAGTGTCATGCCCAGACACGCAGACCAGTTATCTTCTGCACTTTTAAGGAAGTGACATACTGTAGGCACCTGCACCTGACCTAACTTCATTTCCTGCCATGTAAAGAACAATATGTTTCACTGTGTGACTAGAGATGTGCTGCAAATGGACAATAGTTTTAAATAACTTAGCTTCTGAAAAGTGTCCTAAAAGTCCAGTTTAGGCTAGTTACTTCTGCACAGCCCTGAAGGTCATAATATCTGACTGTGCTTTTCTGGACTGTTGATGCAAACTGCGCGGTCATACTTTCTGTAAAACCCTCTTAACAAATTGAATTCAAGCTTTATTATTCCCTAGGGGAAATTGGTTTTGTGATAGGACTACAATATTTCATGAGATAAAAGAACTATTTTGCATTATTTAAGAATGATTCTGCAGAGGGAAGAATCATTTCCTGAGTTCGTTTCTGTTACCCCTGAGGGCACAGAAGCGTCTTCCAGATGGGAGGAGTGTAAATTCACAGTGGAGGGGGTGTGCCACATACTCCTATATCTGTAGAGGGCATTTAGGTTGTTCTGTTTTACCCCAGTGATTAAACACATGAATAAAACAACGGTAATCTTGAGACATGGGGGTGGCATGCAAGTTTTCATGAGGACTGAATCTGTTTCATGACTGAATTGAGGGAAGTCAGAATAGGACTCTGTGCTTTTACCTTGTAGATGATGCCAGCTATCAGGGTATATCTGCTCATGGCTGAGTTTTGGTAGAGGTAGCAGGATCCCTGTTCTCCACATTGGTCTTGCCACAGCAAACAGGAGATGTCAATAACCGAGCCAAAGGCTATTGGACCGGGAATCCCCCCTGTCGACACACAAATGGTGGAGCTTAGATTAAATCTGCAATGACACAGATCGTGACATAAATGACATCAATTTTATAGTGAAAGTGAAACCTTAAAAAGTACTACTTTAAAAAAATAACAAAATTACGCGGGTCACCCAGAAAGCAGTACTCCACTTTTTTTCTTAGGAAAACTGTAATCAGAAAGTTCACTTGACAGCACAGAAGGTTTCTTCGTTTTCTTGTGGGAATGTGCAGGGCAGATTGTGGGCAGGCATTGTACAGTATGTTTAAAAGTAATAAAAAGATGTGCTGGTTGATCATTCCTAGTATTGACTGTTAAATGGAGTTTTTAGTGAACTTTCTCTAGACTGGGGTGTTTGATTTGGAACGGGAGGTAAAAACCAGGCTGTACCCAGCGTTCGGACAACAATCCACTGAATCCCCAGGCCAAAGGATCTCTGACTGTCTGGAACGCACCTTTGGGAAAGACAAAATAAAGGACTGGAAGTCATCGGAACGCCACAGTGCAAATAAACTCGACAACGGGCGATTAGCTGCAGGGATTAGTTCTGTCCTGGCTATGAACTACTCGAACAGTCAAACAGCAGGCGCGTATTTTTCCTTTTTTACATAAAAAAAACTGGGAGAATAAGTCCAGAAAGGGGCGAAGCTTAGCAGCCAGAATGAAGCCAGACAAAATACAACTTAATCAAATTGTGCTCCTTTGTAACTTGAAAGACGTGCAAAGGCAATGATGATGAACATTTTCACGTCTGAAAGTTAAAATAACATCTGAATCATTCATGGAAAAAAACAACCTTATAAAGACATGACATTTATCTGCCTGTTAAATCTGTCTTGTTTTAACTGCAAAACCAGACTGATCTATGTACATTTTGTCAATTTTATTAGTCAAAAATGTGCTTCATGCTCCGCGGCCCACAGAGAAGCTGGTTCAAGACACATTGTTTGTGTCTGGGGGATGAACCACAGACCATAATGTTGGCCAAGAAAATGACACAGGGCCACGCCTCCATGTGGAAGACCTCATGCCCCCACCTAACAGACGACACTTCTGGGAACACGTTTTGCTCAGCCCTTTTGTACTGGAGGGATTTGATCTGAGCAAGCCACCGTTTAAACAATCAGCCCTCCTGGATCGCTCTACCGCCAACGCCACAGGGCTCCGGCCTCCGCTCATACCTCAGGGTAGCTGTCAAAGCGGGGATGCTGCAGAGGAAGGTGAAGAGGATGACGATGAACAGGAAAACGAGGAAGACGGGCATGTACTGACAGGAAGAGGTGCACTTCCCTGCCTCCGCGACACCCTGCTCCCAGGACGACAGGTTCCCCACAATGCACCTGCAGCCAGAGTACACCTGCAGCAAGAGAGAGCACACGCAGGCGGCCCGTTCAGTTTGATTGCAACCGGTTATAAAGCAGTGGGCCAAGATATACATTTTAAATTTAAAATGCGTGGTTCTGTACTGGAAGAAACTATATGAGAAAGATCTAAGAGTTTGACTCAGATTCCTCATCTAGACAGCGAAGAGAAGCAGTGAAAAAAGCGAACAAAATGCTTGCACATCTTGTTAGGGTTGTAGAATTCAAATCAAGGAAAGTCATGTTTAAATTAAATACAGCATCGGTCAGAACTCGCTTGCAATATTGTGCTCAGTGTTTGTGACCACTCTGATTCCTAAAAGGGAAAGACACATGCAAACAATGGGACCTGAGATGTTATAGCCTAGAACAGAGAAGGTTATAGGGGGACTCATAGTGCAAGGCGTTGCCTTTTTAAGAGATCAACAACCCAAGGACCCAAGTGGAGAGCAAAGCTTAAAAACATTCTGCACAGGACACAGAAACACGGCCTTTCTTTACCCTGTAGAAGACTGAATGCCAATCCCTGTGGCTGAAGCTGGCTCTATGGGATTGTCTGGGAAACAGCTCTGTGGAATTCTTGGATTAGTCCATAAACCCAAGCAACCAAATGAGCCTGATGATGGTCTGAATGGGCTCCACTTGGCTACAACCTCTCCGTCTTTTAATTTTGTTCCCCTGGGCAGTAAGAACCTTCTGACTACAGAAACCCTTCAGTACTTTGGTCAGATGCTAATAAATGCGATAGAACTTTGGAGAGGGAATGTATTAGAGGCTGTCTGGTGTAACTCGCCGATTGAACGGCAGCCTAATTGTGAGGAATGAGCCAGGAAGCTGCTCCAAGGGTTCAGCTGGGGTGCCTGGAGAGGAGTGAGAAACACAAGCAAAGGGAGGTACACAGGGAGCATGCCTCTCGTTTCCTCAAAAGGAAGACAACGATGGGCACTGAGTATTTTCATGGCATGTCCCCCCGAAGTGAAGTCCATTTTATGTCGACGAGAACCCAGGCTGCAGTTCCCACTCCTGCCACCAGGGGTCCGCGGCAATGCCGAGGTGCGACCGAGCACACTCGTTGTCGGAATAGGAAAGCTACCTTTTTGCCTGCCGTGCTGAGCGTCTGGTTGATGCCGCTGCAGCCCGCGTGGCAGGGAGAGTAGTACATGGTGCCGTCTGCCCCACAAACGGGGTTGTAGAGCTCCTTCGCACAGCTGCACTCCGAGTTGCAGCCCACTGTCAGGTTCAGAGGTCCGCCTGACGCTGAGCTGTAACTTCAAGAGAAAGGATGGACTCAGTACGGTAGGGTCTCGACCTCTGCGAGCCAAACATTCGCGAATTCGCCTATTCGTGATCCGGTTTGGCCCACCGGGGCTCGTATGGAAGGAAAGACGAGGGGGAGGACACCGAGACATAAGCTGTCACCCACAACGTCCGGATTGGCGGCGCAAGAGACTGGGCTCGTGAGAGGAATCTTTCCAAGTACCCACTGCCCAGCGTCCACATCTCAGCGCGCGCCTGTTTTTATATAACAACGCTCCAGGTTCTGTGTCAGCAGAATGACAGGCTGGAGACAACTTTACAGGCCCTCTGGCTGTTTTATTTTAGTGTTGTGCTACACTGGGGAGTGCTGATCACTGCGGAGGCACACAGAGACACAGGAGAAAGGATTCAGAGGGAGGGCTACTTATGCGTTTTAACTACATATTGTAGTACATTATGTGACGGTATACATTAGGAGTGGCCTTGGTGATCCATGAATTTAGCGTTTTTCTGCACCAAACCCTCGCGAATGTGGAGACCGTAAAGTACACAGACTCGTATGGAAGTAACCTATAGAAGACCCATAAGACGGCATTTGGACATTTCTAAAGAAAACTTGAAGTTTTTTTTGTAAATAATAGTTAGAAACAGTGAAACAGTTTCAATAACCATGGACAAGGAAACGTTGTTCTAAAGTGGTCTTACATTACACAGAACAAGTTGACCCAGATGTCTTCTTCTAACGCTGAACATAAACAGCTTTTGACTTTACAGTACTCATTATTGCTGTGTTTGCCAGGGCATCATTTCAGGAGGGATCTACTCAATCCCTCAGCGCTGGGAAAATGAACTTCGCCCTCTTCGTAGCTATCGCCCAGCTGCCAAGTCACAATATTTCTGTTGGCCCCATTTTTGGCTTTTATCTTCGTTTTACTTGGTGGTGAATTTGACATTTCATCTCTTGAAGTCGCCGTGTTATCTCCGAAATCCAAAACGTCTGAAATTAAAATTCCCTGGCGATTAATGATTTTCTCCGCCTCTGCATTCTCTTCGGAGCGCGCCCCTGTTCTATCCCCCCCCCCCCCACTGTTGTTTGTTTTCCGTCGTTTGGGCGTGTTCTTTCTGGAAATAACCCTTCCTCATACAACGGACGTGCACAAGCGGGGCTTTCGCATCGCTTGCGCTGCTGGCATTTCGAACCCTTAGACAAAGGGGGCGGGGCCCAGCGGCTCTTGGCACTTTGCGGGACCCTGCCTCCGTTTTCCCTCTAGTGCTCCTGGGGCTCAGGGGTGCTGCGCGAAAGGGGGCGGTGTAGGAGTGGAGGGAAGAAGACTGCCCATCCGATGCGCAAGGATGTGCAAGACCCAGGCCGCCGCCACGCCTCGCGCCCCTCCCGTCTCACCTGTCGAAGTAGGGGGCGTTGACGCCCGCCATGGGCATGTTGGGGCAGTGAATCAGGAAGATGAAGATGGCCAGCAGGCTGATGACGCCGCAGAACATGCAGAACTTGATGATGCCCCTGCAGCGCAGGTTCAGCTTCTTCACAATGTAGCCCCCCAGGAACGTGCCCCCTCCCCCGGCAGGCACCACCATGTAGCCTGCAGAACCAGGCAGGGGGGGCAGGGGACACAGGCACAATAAGAAGAGGGTGACCTCAGCACAAGTACTGTACATAATGAAGCGCACTTACTATTGAAAGAAGCAAAATGTCTTTAAACGCATTATATTATCATAGGACGGCCACTTGCATAAAGAAAGCAGGCTACAGGCTACTGCCTGCCTGCCTCCTTCAGGTCTTTTCGGCAGTGGTTGTATGATACTTGTTGAGCGTACTGCTGTGTTGGCAGAAGCGAGCCTGTCGCTGTCCAGTACATTGAGGAGTTTTATTTTTAAATCAAACGCTTACCAAACCACGTGGCTGCTTCTGAGGCACTGAGGCTGAACTGGGATTCCAGGAATTTGGGGCCAAAGGTGGACATGCCCGCAATGAGAGTGGCTTCTGTGGCTCCGGCGAAGCACAGGAAGATGAAGGTGGGGTTCTTCAGCAGCAGCAGCACGGACCTGGGGAGAGGGAAGGGCATTACGCGCGAGTAGAAAAGGAGCTCATCGACAGATGACAAGTTATTTTATGTTGGGACTCATCCACACATCGAAGCAAATTTTAAAAAGGAGATCAACACATAAGGACACACTTGTTGTATCCTTGTTTAAAAGTAAAGAATTAAAATCAAGTGCGGTTAAAATTGGGATATGGTGTACAGTCTGGGATCTGTGTTGGGTTTAGGAGTTTCCAGAAACATGTCAGGTGAAGCCTCTGAACACTCCACAAAGATCTAAAAACATAAATACCTATATATTTACCTTCTCATAATACTCACTGTGTTTCCTAAGACCCTTAGATTCTTCTAAAAATTAAAGTCACCTTATCACCCAGCTCGGACTTAAAAACCTGTGTTTTTTAGCCACTATAAACATTAGTAGTGTCCAAAAAAGCTTTTGGAAAAAATATCATCAGTGGTGTGTGCCAAGACTCTGTTTGGCTCTGGTTTGTAAATGTAGAACTTGTGCTGAACCGCCTGTTTTCCAGCTCTGCTCTAATTCTGCAGCACAAAGGAAATGTTTACGATGGAGTTGCTTGAACAGAAAGGAGAGTTCTGCAAAGGCAAGTCCAGGACCTCACACCTGAAGAAGGCTCCACGGCCGAAACGTTGCGTTTTCTTTCTTCTCTTTTCAGCATGGAATAAATTACTTGTTCCTTTATTAAAAAATGGCTTCTGTATCAGGCTGAATGATTTTTTGCTTAAAACAGTCTTATGATCTTACTGATCACCAATAAAGGTTATCATTCCTGAGATGTGGTAACAGTCATTCAGCTAAAGACCAAAACCATCAGAACTTCACATACACAACACCTGTCATTGTACCTTGGAAGGCTTTCATGCCATAATGGAAGCTGGGGCCAAACGTAGGAACTTTCTATCTTTCTCAGGGTGTGGTTTTCACCCTTTTACCCTAGAGAGGAGGTAATTCTTCAACCAGGCCAAAGAGTGTGGTGATTTAATGATGCTGACCAAGGGATTACACTGCATTAGAAGAGCAAGGCAGTGAGAGCTTGTGTACCAGTTTGTCCAGCTTCAGAGATTGCCACTGCGGCCGCCTGGCTGAACCCTCTGTGTAAAGAAGCACCCAGTGCTGTACCTGGGCATATCTTTGACGGTTTTTCCAAACTGGGGGTCCAAGGCCGTTTCCTGGCTGCCGTCCTTCAGCTGGTGAGCCTCCGACACCCGCATGGCCACATAGCGCTGGGATCCTGGAGAAGAGGGAGCAGGTCATCACAGCTCAGGAGCTGGCCGGTCAGGAGCTAGCTGGCACGAGCGCAAAGTGAGCTAAACACAGCCCGAGGGTACGGATTCCCTGGGCTTGCGGGCACTACAAAGGGTCATTTCTGGAGGACGGAAAAGCTACCAACCACCAGTACATTTTACAGCATTGGGACAACTGTTATCCTCTCGACCTGTGAGCACAGACTCCTCACACTTACAAAGGAGAAGAACGCCCTTGTATCCACAAACCCACCAAGCCTTTATATGGTGCGACTAAGCTCTTTCTCCGCCGGGAACAGTTTGCACCTGTGGCGCTGGGGATCGGTAGCTTGTTGCAGCGGTGCCGCGGTGGCGGAACGGCGGGAGAGGCCGGGTACCTGGCAGCTGCCTGGGATAACCCAGGATAGGGATGGACACGAGGAGCGAAGCCGCTCCCCCCACCAGGAAGCCGATCCACCAGGCTCCCACCCAGAGAGGGTTCTCGGGGGTCAGCTCCGTCCTGGACAGGTCAAGAAGGAAGGAGCACGGCGTCAGCACGTGGCGGACGGGGGGGGGGTTTCAGCCGAGGCAGGACACAGACGAGTCTATAAACCCAACCCTTCGGTGCCCATTCCCCTCCAGCCCAATCAAACCTCATTCCAGAAGAGCCCGTTGCAGCTCTCCCTGAGCCTGCACACAGCGACTGCAGCCCTACTACACCCCAGCTTCTCCCTCTCCAGGAAGCGAGCAGGAAGGAGCCGGGGAACGGGGGCACAGTTTGTGTGCTAGTGCCCCCGACAGCTGGGGAGCTGGACGTAGAATCATGGGATTTGACACCGATAGGCTCCTGTCTCCTTTCCACAAGTTTATGAGTGTTTGGGGGCAGTATTGCACAAGAATTTGGATCATGGGTCACGTCTGTGAATATAATTTTTGCAGGCTTGTGGACGTGAGCCAAGTAGTGGACAAGCAGAGGTCTTTGAATTTTTGGTTCAATACGTGTGATCTCTTATTCTGTTTTCTGATTATCGACCCCTATGACCTACATTTATAGCCTTGACTACAGCTGCAGTTTGGGAGTTCTGCCTAAATACCTGTATCACAAGGGTGCTAGACACAGTTTATTTTCTAGAATATTTTTTCTTAAAATTGTATTGGTGCTTTTTTGTCCCAATGGTGTCAGGGTTCACTTGAGAGTTGTGGCATCGATCATGGTTATTCGCATAATTATCCCCAAACTGCAACATGTGCTCTTTCATAATCTAAGCTCTAAAATAAACTCTCTTTTGTAAGGACTTTACTAGATTTGCTCCTTTTGATACTCGATCAGTAAACAACAAGGCTCTGACTCTTAATGAGTTTATTATTGACTGGAAAATGGATGTCTTTTCACCAACTGAAACATGGCACCTACCAGATGTCCACTGAAAGAATTACTGTAGAATGAGGTTATACCCTCTGGTTACACTGAAAAGAATCCTGCAACTCTGGTAAGTGTAGCAGTCGTTCATCTCTTAGATGCTGGTCTACAAATACAGCTCCTGTGCAGAATGGTACAGCCTTTCAAGGTTTCGTTTATAGCACAGGATCATCCAAATTAGACTACTTGCTGGGGCATCTTCAAAGGTAATATGCTACAGTATGTCCAGACGTCTTCGTGTCATGTGCTAATTAAAAGGTTTCTGCCTCAACATATAACTCTTGTCCTAAGTAAACTACACTGACTCTATGTATAACTTAGAATGGACTTTAAGGTTCTCCTCTTACACATAAGGCACTGAATGATCTAGCTCCAGATTATTTTAAGGTGTTTTCAGGAGTATAGTCCAGTTCTTAATCTGAGATCATATGATTTGGGCATTCTGCCACAGACCAGGCTCTACACTCTGGACATAAGTGTTTCTACTCAGCTGAAGACCAGGCTATATTTCTCATTCTGCGAAAACCAGGTTACACACAATGGGTGACAGAGCCTTATTCTGTGCAATGCTGTGTTGGAGGAACTCACCTTAGACACCGGAACCCTTCTCAGTAACTGAGGACTCTCTAAAACCTCACTTAAAAATCTGTCTAAGGCATTTAATGTGTGGTTTAGTTGAATTCTTACTGTTACAGGGCCACTGATCTGTGCTTTTCTTTTCTGTCTTCCTTTTTCCTCCTCTCTGAAGTATGATTCGCGCACTATTTAACAGCGCTTTTCTCACAAGAGTTTATGAAATTAAACGATTGTTGTTGGCGGCAATGCGGTCTTGCAGCAGGATATCTGGACCAGCGTGTTTTTGATTCTACCGCTAGAGGGCACTGCCTAGGCAAATCAGAGCCCTCCCTTCACAAACAGTAGCTTGCCCTCAAATGAACCAGTGCGCCTGCAGGAACTAATTATGAGAAGAGCCCGATTTGCGGTGTGTGTTACCGTACCTACTGTACAGCACTGTTGCATCTAGACAGGCGGGGTCCGGGACGACAAGGAAAATACTTACGTTTCGTGGATTTCCGTGTACATGTTGAGAAAGAAACCCCCTAACAAGTAACCAGCAGCCGGTCCCACGATAGCAGCTGTGTAAAAAATTCCTACAAGAGGAAAAAGAGAAGCAGTCGTGACGATTTAAAAAAAAAACAGCGAAACGTTTCCAGTGGTTAAGCAGCGTCGTGGATTCTCTGTCGGATTAATAAACCACTGAAAACCAAACGAGACAGACGAGCCGATTTCTTCTATACTCGGATACTAGGATGTCCCTTAAACTGTATTTGTACAGTATGTTATCAATCAGTATATTATAAATTAATATGGATATTTGTTGACTAGTTTTCGTTAATTTTAATAAAGTAAGTATAAAACAGTATGATGCAACACCACAGCAATTATTCCTTATTGCTAATATTAAAATAATATTAATATTGATGCTCTTGGTGAATGAAGCTACAGCACTCATATATCACTCATATACAGTACTGTACATCTTAACCTCTTTTCTCAATGAGAGCAAAAATAAGCCCAGGTCCAAGTTTGATTTTATTGATTAGTTTCAGTCATCGGTCCAATAACAATGCAATAAAATATAAAATTATCTTAGTGATGCAAAGATCAGGTCAATCTAATCTTTTTCGGATGCACAGAAAACATCCCACGCTTTTATCCGACCCTGATAAGGCTACTGCAAGTACTATAGTCTGGCTGCTGGTGGTGTCACTAGTCATGTCATGTGCTGAATGTTTCTGAATGGGCCTGTTGGTAAAAAGGCCAAATATCCTGATGGATTTCAACATTCGTCTACTAGAGGTCCATACATAACCACATGTGGTTTAGCACCAGATTATACTGATGCTGTGACTGTCTCTGCGTACCGACCATGAGGTTAAAATAACAGTAAGAAGCTGCCGTGCCTGATGAGTCTCACTGCATTACAAGCCCCGCTTCTGCGTTTATTTTTACACCTGTTCTCGACGCTTATTTCTGTACGTTAGGTTTGCATTTTCTGTTGACACATTGTTCACTTTGCTCTCTGGAACTCCTCTTGTCTGTTTCCAGTTCTCTTTCCTCAATTGGACTTCTTAATTTTGTTCAGTTCCCCGAAGGTACTTTTTAAAGATTATTTTTTTCAAATGTTTTGTAACAAATGATAACGCTAAATTCAGACTTTCTTAGACATAAGAGACAATGGTTTATAATGGTTTCAGAAGTGAACTCTTGCAGCACTGACTTCAACCTCGTTGAGCAATTATGTAAATCGGCATAATGGTGTTTGTTCTAAACACTGCAGTGTTTGAAGAACTTCAACAAAAATAAATATACTGTAAGGCTTACTGACTCTTTCGGGAAAAGCGCTTCTGGCCTGTTTAAACTGAGACTTCTATTTAAACCAGCGCTTCCATGGCTACAGCTAAGAGTTACTTTTGTGCTACAAGTTCTTACTGAGACCTTTTTTTGTTTTCTTGTCTAAGACGCAGGCAGTAGTGATGCAAGTCATCTACTTCTCAGAAAAGGCCCGGAAACTCAACAGTCAATTAAAAGCCTGTTTTCTGCGAGACAAAATGCTGGGAATCTTTGCCAAGTCAAATTGTTAGGCTTCACACTTCACATGCAGTGTTTTGGTAACAGCCCGGCCAGCCTGGTTGTGATTCCTAGCAGCTTGTTCGGTGATTCTAAATTATCTAATTATTTAAACTGTCCCAAAATCTCAGGTCTCCTGATGAAAATACATAACCAAGGTAGACATGAACAGAGTGGTTGCACTAAATAAGGTCTTCAGTAGATGAAGTATTTGCCCTCTGTACTGATGTGTGTTGTATTAAGAGTTAAACTGTTTTTGTGTTAAACGGTCTATCTGGTGTCTGACTACGTGTCTATTTATGAGAAACAAGTATGCTGCATGTAGGTGGGGCTGGTGCACAAGCACAGCTTCTTGATGAGCCAGGAAAGTTCATGCATCACGTACAGCACTGCACTTTGTTACTGTTCTGTACATGTGGCTCCTGTCAGATTTTATCACTGTTGGATTACCTCACTGGCAGATACAGTATTTCATGTTTTATGACCTCAGGGGATTAAAAAACAAAATCCAAGTTTTAATAAGGGGAGTTTAAACTGCATTAGCTTTTAGCACAAAAACAAATGCATGTTATAAACAGAAAAGGGAAAAAGGCCCAATCTGTCTCGGGGCTAAAATAAAAAGTCTTCATTGTTGCCAAAACAAAACTCTCCCCAAGGGATTACCCTAGGACAGACATCATGGAGGTTAGACAATGCTGTAAGATTGCTACAGCACCAGGAAAGGGTTTTGCAAGTAGATAACACAGGCTTGTAAACCAAAATACAACAACTGGAAACTCAGTTGACATACAACAGCTATCTTCAGCTGCTCACATCAACACAAACATAAGGCCTGTTGCACATGGGAATGAGAACTTCCCTAATGATACATCGAATGACTCCTCTGTTCCCTTGTGCCCTTAACTCCTGAATTCCCCTGCACTCAGACACTAACATTAGGGATGTCCACTCAATGCCTCAGGCTTGAACTCCTCCTGAGAGCGGACCATGGTGGATCAGGGGTCAACACAGAGAAGTGGAGCCTGCCTAAAGCAGACTGTGGAACAACCTGCCGGGATATAGTCCCCAGCCCACCCAGTGGAAATGCATTGCCTGCACCCAGTGCTGGGCGAGCACACCACAGTGGGACGGTCCAGGTGGGCACAAAACAGGAGACCATCTGATCCAGCACTGCCAGGGAGCGTGCATGCTGCAGCTGCCCTCCATCGGGCAATCAGACGAGATTCATCAACCTTGAAAGAAGGGCGAGGGTATTGCTATAACTGATATTTGACATCTAGTGCTCAATCACAAAGCAGTCCCTCAGCCTGAGCTATTCAAAACACCATTCACACGCGAGAGTCTTCAGTTGCACACTGTAACAGAGGGACGTTTGTAGTCTCAGCTGACCTTACTCGGCAGCCTGAGGTTCCGACAAAAAAGTAAATGACAAACTCTGCCTGAATACTGATTCTTCTTCTTGATCTGCAGAGTATTTTCATTATTAACAGATCAAGAAGGTCTCTATACTATAACACCTAAAATTACAGTATATACAGTATGCTAAAAGAGTAAGTAAGGATTCTAACTTGCACTGAAAGATGCTATCATGAGCAGGTTAGCTCACTGGTTTTAAGGACGCTGCCGCCTATCGCCTTTAATCACAATGAGGATATTATTCACAAATCATCTGAGAAGTTCAGTTCAGAATGAGTGTTTCGATCTGGTAGGAGTGGTGGTGAAATGTGGTTTATTATCTGGGAGCGGCTTTAATGTAGGAGAGGTCATAAAATGTGAAAGAGTCAAGAATTTTTTTAAAAAGTCTTTAGTTTTAACACCCCCCCGCCCCCGAAGTCACAAACGTATTAAAAAGGAGTTTTCCTAACGCTCCAGCACACTGTGAACTGCCACATGTGCAGATGGAAATGTGGCGTCCAGCCTCTGAAGCAAATAAATAACTGAGAAACCACATTGTTTCACAAGAGAATGGGCACAGAAGCATGTTTCCATTCTTTCTTCAAGCCGCATGTGGACAATTGAGTCACTGCTTTATGTGCCCCTGAGGAATTCTTCTTCATAGGTGTTTCAGCAGTGTGATTATATTATGGTAAAAACATTGTGTGCTTATTTTTTAAAATGGGAACGCCCTGAATTTCCCCAAATCTCTAGGGAACATCTCCTGAAAAACAACACCCCTAGCCGGTGACAGGTGATAGAATCATGAAGGCCGGCCGGACTTACCGATGTAGACAGGTGCATAGTTGGACTTGACGTTCTCATCCAGGTAGGTGACGCCCAGGGTGTAAAGAGGCGTGGCTCCCATGCCGTGCAGGAACTGCCCCAGCATGAACATGTACCTGTAGCTGGAGAGGCTGGAGCTGCTCTCCTGGCAGGGCGTCGTCTGGTTGTCCGAGCAGAGGCCGGTGTGGTCCAGCACCGTCACCTTGTAGCTGTCCGTGACGAAGTGCGGTAGGGAGAACACCAGGGACCCCAGCGCCATCACCAGCACCCCCCAGCCCAGCCACTTGGGCTTGTGCCCGGTGCCCCCGAAGTAGCTGACGAAGGTCAGGCAGATGCAGGCGGCGATGTCGTAGGAGCTGGCGATGAGGCCGCTCTGGTAGCTCCGCAGGTCGAAGCGGCGCTCGATGGAGGTGATGACCGTGTTGATGAAGCCGTTGACGATCATGCCCTGCAGGAAGGACGCCACGCAGAGGAAGAACAGCACCCACTTGGGCGTGTTGAAGGCCTGGATGAACCGGGGCGTGAGGGCGCCCCAGCCACAGAGCTGCTCCGTCTCCGTGGGGACGAACTTGAACCCGTAGGGCTGGTCCTCCCCGTACTCCCCAGCTCCGCTGCCTGGAGCCCCCCCAGGGGAGTCGGCAGAGGTGGGGCTGGCAGTGTCCGACAGTGCGCTGTTGGCAAAGCCATCCAGGGGGCTGGCAGCCTGCAGTGGCAGGTCACCTGCGCCAGCCTGGCTGTCATTCAGGTCCAGGAGCTCCTGCTTGGAGCTGAAGGAGGTGTCTGTGTTTAGGAGGTTGGGCATTGCCAGTCTCGGGGCTCAGCTACGCTTCACGTACGGGTGTGACTTACTGAACCGCACGGGCATCGACTCCCTGCAGGTGTGGGACCTGGTGGACGGAGCTCTTGGCTTTTAAACACAGTGATCCTGAGATGCAAGCAGAGGGCTTCTGGGACTTCATGCTGCAGGAGGGAAGCCAAAGCACAGTTCAGTATTTCTTAAGAAAACATGAAAGGTCGGAGTGTAGTGAGAAACACTGCATTTCAGTCTACTAGCATACTGAATCAGAACTGGAGGGGAACTGATCTAACTTGTCGGGCGATTCTCACATTTTGAGAAACGAAAACAGAGAGCAAATTGGGATAAAAAAGTCATGTTCGCAAAAGAGATAAAATGGTGCAGTAAAAAAAACTAAAGTGGCATACTAAAATACAAAGTCTGCTCTATACGGGTGAAAAGCAGGTTCCCCAAGCTTGTTGAGCATTCAGACCGGGTGAGTCAAGGTGAGATGCAAAAACACACTCATGTAAAAAAAGTCCTAGCAATACTAACCAGAGAGCCAGCGCTCAAGCAGCATCTTCTCCTGCCAGCAGCATGACTTGTGGAGCAGCACAGCCACAGGCGTGTGCGATCACACAGATCAGAAAACCCCAACCTGTCAGCAGAGCCCCCCTTTTTTTCTTCTGTCTGCTACTAAACCTTCTGCTTCTGCCTTGTCCGGAACAACCGTCAGGTCGAACCTGCTGCGCCGCGATCGAGCCTCGGCGCATTTTATAGTTCGGATGAGTTTCGAAATCACTGAGATCAGAAGACAAAAACATTTCTGGATCTGCCTTTCCGGGAAGTGCTTCAGTTGCTCCACAACACGCCGAATTCAGCTTTCCAAGGCTAGCCCTCCCAACTGCTTTACAATTACATCATTCCAAGCGCTGATGTTTTTTTTTTATACTCCGGGAGAGTTCACGGGGCAGCCTGTTCTCGCTGCAGGTAGAGAGCCAGGGACACACAACTGTTTAAGACCGGGACGGACCAGAGTATCATTTACAGTGTTGCCTCGCAGCAGATGGCTACATTTTGGAAACGCGAGCTTAGTATGTTGTGATTTCTTAGTATTGCGACAGTGGAGCACATGTGCAGCTCATCAAGATTCCCCACGAGAGCTCGGACGGGCTCCGGCCTCCCGACCCGCGTTGTAGCGAGACGGCTACTGAACTATGATTTTTCCCTTTAGTGGGAAGACTCGCCTTACGATGCGACCACACACCGACATGCCGCTCGCTCTCTGGCTAAGGAAGGGAAGCGCTCTGCTGGCGCTCAGGCAAACCCATGAAGTGCAGTGAGCGCCTGGCCTCGTTACTCCGTTTTAACTCCCTGTTCCTGCTCCGGATTTTAACTTCGTCTGTCTCGGCTGGATCCCCCGGTTATAACACTATAAAATAACACTAGTGGATCAACTAGAAGGATGCCCAAACTTTTGCACATACCACGTTTACTGTTTTATTTTTTTCAATCTGTTAATTTCAGCAAATAAATAGTAATTGTGCATTAACATTTTGCAGAAATATGTCACGTTTAAGCTTGTCTGCTGCAGAGGTTGTGTTAACTTCTTTTCACTTAGAAAATCAACAAAACATGTAATTTGGCCAGGGGTGCCCAACCCTTTGCGTACAACTGTATTTAAACTCAGGAGTGAAGTATTTGTGGTATTTGGGAACAAACCAGCTTGGACAGGGTGCGTCTTTTCCCCTCCAGCTGTCAGTAGGTTTCAGGCACCGACTGCATCTTGCGGTCTCAAATTTCCCAAATTTTGGACCACAACCATGAAAAGAAAAAAAAAAGTTTTTTTTTTTATTAAGCATCTGTAATCGTGTGATAGAAAATGGGTGGCTGAGCCATTTTGTGACCTGTGACAATTAATTGTTTGACTGCTGTTTGAAGTGGATACACATGCATCCAGTCCTACAGCTGGGTATTTGACTCAATTCGGGTGACGTGTTTTAGTTTAGAACCCTGAGCACTGCTCCCACAGACAAGAGCGCGTGCTACAGGTTAACGTGTGTATTAGCGTGTGGATACCTACGTGTGCTGTGGATTAAAGGAGGCATGATGTTACATAGAGAATATTCTTTGGTGGCCGTCAAGGTGGAGCAGTGATTAGCTGCCTCACAGGGCTGGGGCTTCGGGTACAATTCTGGAAATGGGGTGTTGTCTGCTGGAGTTTCTACGATCTCCCCATGTTTGTGTGGGTTTTCTCCAGGTGCTCCGGTTTCCTCCCGCAGTCCAAAGTCCCGCTGGTAGGTTAACTGGCTTCTGGAGAAACTGTGTCTGTGTGTGCCTTGCGATGGACTAGTGTCCTTTACGGGTGTACCCTGCCTTGTGCCAGTTGCTTGCTAAGATAGACTCCAGCTCCCCTTCGAACCTGAACTGGACGACGGGGTTAGAAAATGGATGGAGGGACTGTTCTTTGGTGTTCACATAGGGAGGGTCCGAATTGTCCCTATGCAGCTCATAGTTTTCTGATATGACACTGGTATTGTGGCTGAGTTCTATGATCCAGGTGTCACGGGATCGAGCCTGAACTTATGTCACTCGCTGTCCATTGCCACCTCACAGCTGAGGTTTCAGGTTTGTTCCCCACAGAGAACAAATAGATGTTCTGCTGTTAAACACAGTACACAGTCAGCCGAACACATTATAGTTAGAAATATTCAAGTATTCAAATTTGGCTCCCGTTTAGACATCACCCTGGAAATGATGGCACCTGTCAGACCGACAAAGGTGTGAGATAAACGGTTCTTCTCTCACCCAGCAAACTCTCCCGCTCCTGGTAGATTTGTCAACAGCACCAGAAACAGCCAAATAAACTCAGACAAACAGAAGAACTTAAATCAAAGCCCAGTGAAAAAGTAAAAAATGTGGAGGTCGCGTAAGTACTTTTGGAATTAAATTAGCCCTCACATTAAGAGTAAATCCTCTTATAGCTTAATGTCTATTGGGACCAATATATTATTATTCATGAAGAAGAAAAAGACTTACCCAAACCATAAAAATCCTAGACATCTAAGTGTTAAATCCAATCAGCGGTCACCATAAAGCTGTTTTTTCTCTAAGAAGATTACCCCATATTTTGTGTTCTTTCCAGAAAGGTGTCACTTTGATAGGAAAATTAGCTTCAGTACCTCCCTCTTCCTCGCTCCACTCAGCACGCTACTAGGCACATTTGGCAAGAGCCCCTTCCAAAGCCCCGAAGACCAGTAGGTACCAGGAGATACCGTTTGTGAGGTCCAGCAGCGACACGCTGACACTCTGCAAGCTCCACAGTGCCTGACAGGAGAGTCAGCACCAACTGGATGAATGACATATCCCTCGCTGACATCACGAGGGCAGGCTACTATCCAGAATAAGGAGTAGAAAGCTCCTGTTCTTAGCAAGGCTGAGGTGGACGAATGTGGTACTTATTGTTAGCATTATTATTTGTTTTTATTATTAACAAGACTTAAGAAAATGTAAGTAAAGCCTTATACTGTATGTATGCAAAACAATAAATACATACTTATACTGTATGTATGATTCAATAAAGCAAACAGGATGCTCTGAAGTGGTTATATTTACTGTTTTAATGAAGAGCTTTAAAAAACTTTCATAGAAAAGCATAGTGCAATGGAACATAGTGTAATGGAGCACGAATGGTAAACAAGGCCCAGTCTCTGTGCACAGCATTCGGCATGCTTTTGTGTGAAATACTGCCAGACTGGGCCAGATGACAATTACTCTCTTGTTATGCTTGAGAAAGGTGGTATGTTTTGCATACAAAAATTCAGAGATAATTCTCATAGTATTCTTTCTGTTTGTGCCATTAAGGAAATTATGGTTCTTTATACTTACAGCCTCTCTGGAGCCATGGCAGAAACATACAGTACCAATTCATTGAGATCTGATGTTGTTTCTGTTGTCCAACTCTGCAGCTACAGAGCTACAATGCAATTAAGATTCCAAGGAAATCTACAAAAAGCTCAGTAGTCAGGGGTCTGGGCACCTTTTGAACTTCAGACCCAAAGCTTCTTAAACTGTTGCTGAAGCAACAAATGCTCCTCCAAGCACCAATCCTATTAACTCAGAAATTCAACTCCAGCTACTGTTACAAAGACGAACTCTGTTTTCCAACTCTGCTCTTGATAATACAGCCGATGAAGAAACACCAACAGCAATAAAGCTGACAATCAAGAGAGATGCTACACATTTGCAACAGTGAAGATGTTGCTAGATCAGCAGCTCTTAAAATGTAGCATTCATGATGTTTATGCCATGAGGAGAGTGAGTAGGACGACCGTTATCTGACTTTAAACCTGAGAGGTTCGTATTAAAATACATGCAGGAACTGAAGAGTAGCCAAGTAGCTGAATGGGACACAATGAAGTTGTCATGGCTTGTCCTCCAACTTGTCAAAACTGGGCACCGAGCATCACAGATCACAAGAAGAACAATTAAGTGCCATCAGCCCTTGGGCTGAGCAGAGGGAAATGGAGAGGAGATGGGGATGCTGGAACGGTGGGGGTCGTGCTGGTTCTCCACCCACCAGAAAAAGAAAGAGGCTCCCCAGTGACTCAGCCAACAATGGTCTCGCCCGGAGCAATGGCTGAGCCCCACAGCTACAGGACGCCAATTTGAGACGGAAACGGTTACAAACGAGAGGAGAATATCTAGCCCATTTGGCAGTCAGTAGCCAATTGATAAGAAAGCTGCTGGGTCACCAATGCCCATGAGGATTTGGAATATAAGAATATAATATTCTGTATAAGCATTTAGGTCTGTGCCTGAGGCTCAGGCACATGGCTAGTCCAGCTCGACCCAGAAATGTGCAGGAATGCAGACACACGAGAAATGTGGGACACCTATCATGACTGCTGTCTCCACTATCTCCACTGTCTCACACTGCTGTCAGCTCCAGGCAGCCAACAAGGCGTGCAGGAGAGTCTTTGTTCTCCCTGTTTAGTACAGTGACCTGAGATGATTAACAGAAATTGATCATTATACTTTAAAACACACACACATACACAAAGGAGAAGTACCGCCATCAAAATATCTGTGAATTTTCACTTTCCACAGTTCTGAATTGCAATGCGGTCCCAGGCGCAGCTGCTGTCCATCAGTCCTGCGGTCACCCAGGAAGAATGAAGTTAAA